TGAACTGATTCTGAGAGGGTGAGTGACCATTAAGTAGACAAAACAAGAGGAAAGTCCCATCAACCAGCGGGAACAGCAAGTGCAAATATATAATATCCTCAGAGCAGGAGAGTAAGTGGGTAGAAAATGGGAAATCAGCTGTTAAAAGATAAAACTTAATCAGCCCTAGGGTGCAATAATGGCAATTCCACCCACATTAAAGTAATACAACACCAAAAAAGTACAGGTGGTCCCATACTATAAGATTCACTGGCTTCTGAGAAACATTAGATAGTCAAGTACCTAAAAGTTAAACAAAGCTTGTACACTGGAAAGTCAGTTTAGTTTCCAATGAACTCAAGAGTTGCATTGAATGTTTGTAGTCCACTTTCCCCTGGCCGAGGTAACCGGTTGGGTAGATGAGCAGTCACAGGGCTATCGGAGGAGGTGACTGTTAGTAAGCTGTACAACAAATTGAGGCCTATGCTGTCTTTGGGGTCTGCTTCTGTTCCCTTCCCTTTTGCCATGATGGCCTCTAGTCTTTACTCCCTGAAGGTAAAGTATGGAACAAAGGAGAGATGGAATGAAATCTGCTTCCCCTACTTACTTGCGTGACTTTGTTAGGGTTAGGTGTACAAGGAAAATTTCTGGATCATAGCAATTCAAACTAAATAGAGCGCTAGTCACAACTTCACATGTGTCCATCTAGGAGACTCCTAGACAGCTGAGCTTCTTTGAGAGAGGTCAGGACAAGCACCTTCTTATAAGACACGCATGTACTTTGTGGAAGCCAGGCCTTTTGCCCCAGCAGCCATGGCTGTCAGGCAGGGCCATGCATAATGCCTGCCGATTGCCATCGCTGAGAGAGGATGAGTGAAAGACTGAATGCGGATAGGAATGGGCAGTGGGGCAAAAGTGTGGGCTCTGTAGAAAGAAGTGTTGGATCATCTGCTGGAAGAAGGGAATGTCAACAAAATACTTTGATTCACTTGCCATTTGTTAGAGAGCAGTTCATTTTGTTGAGGGCCTTTATCTCTGTGTCACATTTCTATCACTGTGGACAACAAAAAGGCACAGACAGTGCACAGACAGTGCCCTGGGAATCCTCACAAATTCCCCTGACAAAATAGCCCCCTGACAGAAAAGTGTCTCCCCGCAGATGGTCTGCCATGAAGCTAGAGCAATCCCCGAGCCTCCAAGAGCCAGAGTTTTCACCCAGATGCCCAGAAGGCAAAGCAATCAGGTCTGGCCTACCTAAGAACCTCATTCAGGGTTATTCAGAGAATTACAAGCAGTTCCCAGGCTTTTGATTTAATGGACTAGTACATTTTCAGAAAAGATTTCAGTGACCCACATAAACTGGCCAACCTCTTATTTTTTTTCAAGTAAGGACATGTGACTATGGTTTTTGTGAGGTTGTGTTTAATTGTCATAGATGCCTTTGATTATTATCTTCAATAGCTCATGAGATCTTCATTGCGTCACTGCATGGTATTATCTTCATATTATGATGAAGAGAGGCTCAGAGAAACTAAGTAAATTTCCTGAAAAATCATCTCAAAGATAATTTCCATGTAAGGGCAGGTAGGGGCAGAACTAGGTCTTGAGTCAGGTCCACTTGAAACCTTTATCCTTCCCACTATGTTAATTATCACCTCTGAAATATGCATCAACTATTCAGATAAGATATATTCTCTCTCTCTTTTTTTCTCTATCTCCCATCTCCCTCCCTCTCTCCCTTCTTCCCTCTCCCTCTCCCTTCTTCCCTCCCCATCTCCCCTCACCATCTTTCTCCCTCTCTCCTTTTTTTCCTCTTATGTTGCTAGGGATCCACCCCAGGGCCAGTGCATGGTAGACCAGCACTCTACCACTGAGTTACTCTCCTAGTCCCAGATATGATTTTTTTTTTTTTTGGCAGTACTGGGGATTGAACCCAGAATTCATGCATGCTGGGCAAGCATCTACCTATGACTGAGCTTTATTATTATTTTTTGAGATTAAAGTCTCACTTAGTTGCCCAGTTGGCCTTGAACTTGTGATCCTCCTGCCTCAGCTTTCCAAGTAACTAACTGAGGTTAGAGGTGTACACCAAAGTGTCCAGCCCCAGATGTGACTTTTAAACCTCTGCTGTTCCAATGAGATGATAGAATGGCTACAAATTAAAGCTGAATTTTATCTTTGTAGAGATATTTTGATTTTTTTTTCTGAAATGCTTTAATTTTTTCAATATTTCTCCAACTACTTTCGTGACAAGAACACAAAAACTAGAGACCAACCCTGACATTATGACAAAATTTAATATTAACATATAGATATACATTGAGTGTGAGATGGTGAAGAATGAAATTTCTTTAAGCCTATTTTGCTGAAATGTGACTGAAAATAGGATGTTACAAATCATGGCTTATGAGAGAATTCGTTTCAATGCTCACTGCATCGTGTGGTATTTTGCTGTTAAAGTGAAGAGCTCTGGGAAGAAAGTTTATCTCACAAAATTAAACTGTTGACCACTACAAAAACTCTAATTTTTATTATTTGACCAGAACACAAAAGAGAAAGACATAGATTGTGTTGGCATTGACTAAAATCATTGAGGCCTCTCTATCAGGAGAGGTATTGCAAGCTGAATTGTGTTCCTCTGACATTATTACATTGAAGCCCTGAAAGCATACAGGAGGACGTGCATAGATTATATGCAAATAAATATTATGCCATTTTTATTTAAGGGACTTGAACATGCACATATTTTAGCACCTAAAGGGATCCCAGACCTAGTCCACCAAGGCTACCAGGAAATAAGTATATTTGGAGAAAGAACGTTTAAAGGCTACATGAGATCAGATGGATGGGCCCTAATCTAATCTGACTGGGATCCTTATAAGAGGGAGTGACCAGAGATTTGTGCCCAGAGAAGAAAGACTGGGAGAGGCCATAATGAGAAGGAACTGTCTGCAAGCCAAGGAAAACCTCAGGAACTAATCATGTTAACATCTTGATCTTGGACTTGTAGTCTCCAGAACTATGAAAAAATAAATCTGTTCCTTAAATTCCTCTTAGGCCCCTACCACTACTTATATGAAGATGGTTAAGGGAGACATCAGTGGAACTGATGGATGAACTTTTATTACTCAGTAGGGTACTTTACAGTGAGTCTGAGGATCAGCTGAAGAAAGGGTTTTTCTGAGAGTAAAAGGGAAGTAAAGTGTCAATTAGTGAGCTATAATGCTCTGACTGGTGATGGACATTAGCTATGTGCATTTTTTGCTGTATATTGTACATCATAATAATGTGCCTAGGATTATTATATAATAATCATTAATTTCTTTAACAATTGACAATTTGTGGAGAACAATTTCATTGGCTAGAGTAATGCTTAACAGCATAGGCTTTGTCAGCTTGCAGGGCTTGAATCCTGTCTTGCTACTTCCTAGCTGTGTGATTTGGGGGCAAATTCCTTAACCTCCTTATACCTCAGTTTTTTAATCTGTAAAGTGGAGATAATACATATTTCATAGGGTTGTGTGAGAATTAAGTGTGCTAATATATTTGAAGTGCTTAGAAGATGCCTGACATATATTAAGCACCTAGTAAATGTTTCAACTTTGGCCTATCCATGCACGTGAATAGCTACTAATAGAACCGAAAGCATCTATTATACCTACAACTAATAATAGAACTTTAGGTTTCCACCAGGATACCTGCCACTCTTGAAATGACAGCCAAAATAAGTGTGTAAACTGAAAACCTTTCTTTTTAAAATCATCTCAAAGATAATTTCCATGTAAAGCTGGAGAAATCCTGTATTGGATGTAGCCCTCGATTTCTCTATAGAGAAATCCTTAACATCTTCATCCTTTTAAGATAAAAAGTTAATTGAATACTGTTTTTCTCAAGTATTCAAGGTCAGGATGAATTGTTCAATGTTCCCTTCTTCCCTTTTCTTTCTTTTCTTTTTTTTCCCCTTCAGGGCTCCCTTCTTGCTTGCATGAACTGAATTGAGAATAGATGGAGAGAGCTATGAGGAAACAGCTTACAGAGAAGTATAGTATGATGATTTGATTGGAAGAAATGGTTTGTTTAATCAGAAAGTAGTAGGTCAGCTGTGCAAATTAATTAGGAAGTCTTTTTTTTTTTTTTAATGTTTTGGGACAGGGTCTTGTTATGTCATCTATCTGGTCTCAAATGCCTGTGCTCAAGTGATCCTCATGCTTCAGGCTCCCAAGTAGGGAGAGTGGGGACTACAAGCATGCATCACTGTATTGGTTACCTGGAAAGTTTTGTGTTGGGGCTGTAGGATTTATATATAATTTTTTTAAAGAGATCTGGGGAACTAGAGAAGGAAAAATATCTGAAGAAGGTCTAGGTTGGTTCAGATGACTGGAGAAAGTGTAGTGTCAACCTAAAACTGGGTAGTTCCTCTTGGAGCTTGACAAAATATAGTGATCCCTCAGTTCGGAATAAACAGTGGTTAAGGTTGAACTTTGGGATATCTTTGGACTTGAAAAACATGATTATTATGCTAAGAATTTATAAAATATGTAATCTATTCGTTACAAGACTATAGTCTGTGGCTGATAGTTCTCCCCCACTGGTCAAGTGGCCGGGCTTGTTAAGCAGCAACCGCTCAGGTGGGAACAACAGTCACTGAGGAAATAAAGGTCGGGTCCAAAGAGGAAGAACTCAATTCCTGGGGGCAGGAAATGTGTCAGAGGCTATCTAACAGCGTAGTTGGTACAGTGCATCTTTTCAGAAAAATATTAATTGGTTTTAACAAAGTTGAGTATAATAGCTGATTATATATCAGTTCTGATATTGTTTATCTTGAAAGCTTGCAAATTTGACTCCTTAACATCTTCATCCTTTTAAGATAAAATGTTAATTGGATACTGTTGATTCTTTGGTTCTTGTTCCTTAACTTATATAACTGCAAAATATTTATTAAGAAATTATAATTTATCTCTCAGGGCTTATGATATACTGGGAATATGTATGCATATTTCCATGTGTTTATTATACATCATTTTAATTTGTGCCATATGCATGTCATATATGCCATAAAATTATTTCTCAAAAGTGCCTTAGCTTACTAATGAAACTCTTTTTCTCAATGTGTAGGATCAAGTCAATTGAAGTGAATCTTCCAACATATCATTCATTCCTGAAAGAAAAACCATTTAAAGTAGGAAGATGTTTTTTAGTTTTAAGTACACCTCTCTACTTCCCAGGAGCTTTTTGTGTTGCTACCACAAAGTGTTGTTGTGTTTTATTTGGACAGTTACCTTAAGATACTTTAAATGTCATTATTTATTATAAAAGCATTATATGTTTACTATAGAATATTTGAAAATTATAGAAAAGCCTAATGAAAAAAAAAGTCATATGCAATTCACTACTCGGCAAAAACTATCATTCAACCACCACCTACTATTCTTTTTTCTTTCTCACTCTTTCAGTGTAAACAAATATTGATAATATACTGTGACTCTACATATGATCATAGGTGATTTTCCATTTGACACTGTAGCATTAGCACATTTCCATATTATTCAATATTCCTCATAAACATGATTTTTCTGACCTCATAGTATTTTATCTGATATTTTACCAAAGTTTGAGATTATTTTCAACTTTTTCTTACTGTAAATAATATTAACTCACTGTGTGCAGAAATACTTTAACTCAACTCATTTCCTTAACCCAAATTAAGGAAAGATTGGAGTTACAGACTAAAAATGTGCTGTCTTCTGTAGGGACCTTGATACCTTCTGTCGATTTCCCTCTGGACACTTGCTTGTTTGTGAGCATGCGTGCATCAGTGCCTCCTCCAAGGGTGAATGTTAACTTTAAAACACATAAAACCAGAAAGAAGATGTCTCATTTTTTTAATCCACTGTCCTTTTATTACTGTCTAGGTTGGATACATTTTCTCATGCTGGTTAACCCATAATCATACAACGAGGAGAACATATTTTGTTTGCAAACTTAAGATGAACTAACTGTGACAATTCACAGTTAACCCTGTTGCATTAGTATCTTTATATTTGTTCTAATTTTCAGTCTCTGGGAGTCCATTCAGGAAACTTCTTTCTATGAAGGAAACTGTCTCCTATGATGATAAAGAGCTCAAGTGTCGGTATGACCACTGCGGAGCCCTGTACAGTTAGTCTTTTGTAACCCTGAAGAAGTGACTTCACCTCCCGAAGCTTCCGTTTCTCAAACTGTAGAACAGGGAAGGAAATCCTCATAGTCATTCCCGCAACAAGAAACTGGGACTTATTCAAGCTTTTAATATGAGGTAGCTACTATTAAGGGGTGAAAAATTTTCTCTAATTGCAAGATAGGCCCAAGAGATAGATCAAGGCGTGGTAGCCTGAAACTTTAGAAGCCAGGACTTTTCAAGTTCCAACAAGTTGCAAGTCTCAATGTTTTGCTGTTTAGACTTTCAGTTGGTAGGAGGAGTCTATAGATAATAGGATTTTTTTTTTCTTTCTTTTTTTAATGGGGCAGGGATAAGTTGGCTAGGAGATGGCTTGTGCTGCTAGCCCAGCAGTGGCCTTAGAGTCTTGCAGGACACAACAATGCTTGCTGCCTTGCTACTTAATACTTGAGAAAGTTGCCCTGGAACTGAGAGCATAAGTCTGTCCCACTTCTCTCTTCTTCCTTCAGGGTGAGAAAAAGAACACTGCTTTAGTCCTACTGCTGAGTCTCTGTGATCAGACTAGGGTCATTGCAAGAATCTGGCTTTCCTTTAACACTGTGCTCTGTCTACCTGTCTGTGTGGGACTCTGTAAAGATAATATAGATTCTCATTCAAGGATTTTTCTCAGACTGATAATTCAGTTCTTTGTATAATGTATTTTTGAGAATGCAATCATTTTTTTCAAGATTTTAAACACTAAGTTTTAAATTTCAGCTTATAGGTACAGCCTTCCACTCTGAGGCTGTGATTATGTTATATACGAGCTGTTCAGCAATGCTGACCAGGTTGACTGCCTGCCAAGTGGCTGGTAGTGTGAGGCACCCTGACATCACTCTCTGAACTGCTTTCTCTTTCACATTCTTGCACTTTACAGCTGACAGCCCAGAGAGTGGGAGCCGATTCCACCAGAAGCTGCCACTGAAAACCAGAGTTCAGAAATGTCAGAGATCCTCCAGGAACTGCTCCGTGTCTCAGAGAAAGCTGCCAACATCGCCCGGGCATGCAGGCAGCAGGAAGCTCTCTTCCAGCTGCTCATTGAAGAAAAGAAGGAGGGAGAAAAGAACAAGAAATTCACAGTTGATTTCAAGACCCTGGCTGATGTACTGGTGCAGGAAGTTATAAAACAGAATATGGAGAACAAGGTAAGAAAGGTCATGGCCAAGGTAATTGTAAAATACTTGCTTCTGTGGCTCCCCCCACAACCATGACTTTTATTCCTTTTCAGAATATTAGCATCTTTAAAGTACAGAAAAGAAAATAATAACCACAAAACCCTTTCTTTTATTAATGAGTTTCTTCTTAGTGAATAATATATGTTCTCTGAAACACAAACAAAATTGAGCTCTCTTAACCCTGCAACTAGAAAAAACAACAACTATGTTTTGCTAAATATTATTAGAATCTTTCCTTTCTTTGTGTATGTGTGCGCATGACGCCTATCATTCATCTCATCAGAAATGAAAGCACATTGTTTTGTAGCCGGTGTTTTGGTTTATTTTTTAAACTTGGTATAGTAAGTCTCATCTTTTGGACTTACTCATGTATCTAATATTTGCCTTGCTTATGGGGTTTGTAGCTGAATGAAGTCTCCCTTTGTTCTACTACTAGGAAAACGTTGTCATAACTAACAGTGATTATGATTCTGGGTATCTTGAGCTGAATCACAAAACAGTATTCATAAGTAGAAGTGGTAATAGTAGTAGTGGTAGCAGTAATAGTAATAATAGTAGTAGAGATAATACTAATGATGATAACAGACACTTATAAATGCTAAGTGTGTGACAGGCATTGTTTTAAGGGCTTTGAAAAGGGTAACTTATTTAGTTCTTGTAACAATTTTATGGCTTAAGAGCAATTATCCCAATGTAGTGAATGAAAAAAGGGACCACAGAGAGCTTAAGTAGCTTGCCTAAGGTTACACAGAAAATGAATGGCAAGTCAAGTTTTTGAACACAGGCAAACTGGCTCCAGAGTCTACATCTTTTTTCTTTTTTGTTTTTCTGGTAACAGAGATTGAACTCAGGGGACACTTAACCACTGAGCCACATCCCCACCCTTTTTAATATTTTATTTGGGGCCTCACTAAGTAGGTGAGGCTCACTTTGAACTCATGATCCTCCTGCCACAGCCTCTGGAGCCACTGTGATTACAGGTGTGTGCCACTGCACCCAACTTCCAATGTCTATGTTCAAAAGTAATATTGCCTTTTAAATGATAATCTAATAATTCTGTTTAGCTTGGGAGGATAGAATTTTGTGACATAAAACATTTTAAATTATTGGAATATTTTCTAAGAAATGCTTAAAATATGGGGCATCATTTAAGTGAAATCTTAACCACAGGCAGTTGATAAGAATCAATGACCCCATGAAATTTCTGCCAACTTTGATTTTCTTATACCCTGTAATATCTGTTATATCTGGCTTAGATAAAATAAATGAAGCAAACTTATTTTTGTTTATTACTGCTCAAGATAATTGAGTACAAATGATGGTTGAGCAACTGGATTAGATATGTATGGACATTGATTAATTTATGGACTAATATTTGCCACAGAGCATTATAACAAGTTCAGGCAGTCATTCATTCATGAAGTAAATGTCAGAACTTATGAACAAATAGTTTTCCTTTTCAATTATATGAAATATTTTTATTTCATGACCCTTATGCCTAGGTCCCTCAGAAACAGATGTTTAAGCAGGCTTGGAGACTGTGCTTCCATCCTTGAAGTATAGAATGGTTGCCAGCCTTCATTGGCTTGTACCATCTTGCAAAACAGAAAAAAATAAAACAACAACAACAAAAAGCAAAAACAAAATAAACCAAAAAGTAAACCTCCAAGTGGTTCTGGGCATTATTAAAGCTTTTGGCCATCTGCAGATGACTGGGCTTAAGTATTTAAAGCATTTCCTTACTTTTGTTCCCTAAGAATATCATGAATATCACAAGGCAATTTTTATTTTTTAATTTTAATTTTTTTATACTGGGGATTGAGCCTAGAGCTCTCTACCAGTGAACCACATCAGAGTCAGAGTTCTTTTTCTTTTTTTTTCTTTTTTTTTTTTTTTGTGAGACAAGGTCTTGCTAAGTTGCTTTGGGTCTCACTAAGTTGCTGAGGCTGACTTTGAACTTGCCATCCTCCTGCCTCAGCCTCCTGAGGATTATAGGCATGCTTCAGCAAATATTTTGAGAAAAGTTATTCTCACTACTGAGGGTCAGAAGAAAAATATATTTGAAAGTTTCCTAAGCATACAGAGATGAGAGAAGATTCTTACTTGACTCCATTTATTCACTTTATATTGATGCACAAATTATCAGCCAATAAAGTTCTATCCCCCCCCCTTCCTTCCTATATCTTCCTAGCCTGAAAACTAACAGTATTTCTAACAGGAGCAGAAACATACTTGAAAATGAAAAACAAAATCTAACATTACCCTCCTATCTCTTCTATCTAGTCTCAATAATTTCAGTCACTTGATCAATAATATTAACTTTTATAAGGTACTAGAGTGCTGTTTAAGATGATAGTTACAGTATCTCCTTTGCAAGCATCCTAGCTCTAGGGCCTTTCTACAGTAGGATAACAAGACATAAGAAAACCAGACTTCAACCACTATTTGGATTTAGAGAGGCAAAGAGACAGGAAAATATTAGAGAACTAAGCACCTGACAAAACTGGTGTCATTTTTTATACCTGATTTGGTTGTACATTTGGAAATTTCTGAAATTCAGATGTAGTTGTGTTTAACTTGAAATGTAAGATGGAAATCTATTGGGAATTGAACATGTGTGTAGGTTTTAGTTATTGTTTTGCTTTTTATCATATTCTGAATCATTCAGTTTCCAGGCTTGGAAAAAAATATTTTTGGAGAAGAATCCAATGAATTTACTAATGATTTGGGTAAGTATGAGAATCTTAATGTATTTTTGTAACTTAGTTATCATATGGTATTCTGATCCCCAACTTACACCATGAAATAAGTGGATGTTTGGAAACCTTTCAATGTCATCAGTATTATATATTTGAATGTAAAGCTTCATTTAGTCTCTACCTCATAATATCATGCTATTTAAATTAAGAGAGAGATGTGATCTCTTAGAATAATTTAGCATGTCCATGCATCATTTTAAATATAAATCTGTAGCATTTAAATAATTAATAAAATTACCTTTTGGGAAAATTCTATGGTCCATTGGGAACTTAGTGGAGGTTATCAATGCCCCTAGAGCCGGGCGTGGTAATGTATGCCTATAATAGCTCAGGAAGCTTACACAGGAGGATCTCAGATTCAAAGCCAGCCTCAGCAAGGCGAGGCGCTAAACAACTCAGTGAGACCCTGTCTCTAAATAAAATACAAAATAGGGTGGGAGATGTGGCTCAATAGTTGAGTTCCCCTGAGTTTAATCCCTGGTGTCCAAAAAAAAAAAATGATGCCCCCAGAAAGATGCACAGCTACAGGTATGTACAGAAAATTTCAGGTCCAAGTCCAATTTCAGGTTTAAGTCCCAAGGGCTCCCTGGGAGCCCTTGACCCTGAAATCCTGGGTGATCTTGAGCCATCATTTCTCAAGGTCTCAGAACCTCTGTAAAGTTATTCGAAGTAACATAGTTCCACCCTGGTTTTTTTGTTTGTTTGTTTGTTTGTTTGTTTTTATTTTGCTTGAGACAGAATCTCAGAGTCCTGTCTTGATATGTTGTCCAGACTGGTCTGGAACCCCTGGGTTTAAGTGAGCCTTCTGCTTCAGACTCCAGAATTGCTGGAGATACCAGAGCAGGCCAATGCCAAGATTTTAGTCTTATTTACATAGTTTCCTATAGGCAGATTCCCCTTCAGTGACCTCCACCTTCTATGGCAGTTTAGGGGAAAATATCATAATCTCTGATTATTTTCAGAGAAATTTTTCATTTTTAGTTTGTTTGGGAATGTTGTTTGTTTAATATTAGAAGACTAAAATAGTGAATCTTAAACGTTGATCATGGGACAGATAGTCAAATATTGAGAAACACATTTATTAAAGGAAGAACGTGAGTTTCTGGATTAGCATCTGATAATCTTTTTAAGTCCCCTACATGAGCAATATATTAAAATGTCCTTGGTTCTATAATACTGTTTTAGTCAGCATTTTTTTGTCACTGTGATCAAAAGACATGGCAAGAACAAGGTAGAGTAGGAAGTTTATTTTGGCTTACGGTTTCAGAAGCCTTGCTCCATAGACGGCCGACTCCACAGCTCTGGGACCCAGGTGAGGCAAAACATCATGGCAGAAGGCCCCCAGTGACCTACTTCCTCCAGCCACACCCTACCTTCCCACCATTACCACCCAGTGTATTTTTATCAGTGGATTAATCCAGTGACATAGGTTATATCTCTCACAATCTGTTCCTTTTGCCTCTGAAAATTCTTGCATTATCTCACACATGAGCTTTCAGGGGACACCGCCTATCTAAACCATAATAGACATTCAGTAGGAAGAGAGAACTAGCTGAAGGTTAAAAATAACTCCTGTGATTAACTCATAAGAATTCCTCATTAAAAATCCTACATTTGACTACTTTACAAAGTTATTTCAGTACATGATTTATCCAGAATTATAGAAACACAAAAAACCATTCCACATTTACTTCCCTGATTGTTGAAAGGGCAAAGAAATGTAAAGCAGGGAAGAGGAGAGACTCTGGTGGATAGTGTGATTTCAGGCAGGAGGCAATCTTGGTGAATTCAGGTTGCCCTCCAAGTGTGATGGGGATTCACTAGCCTGTTTTAAGCAAAGGAGTGATATGGTATAATTTACTCATTTGAATGATCCTGTAACTTTTAGTAAGCCCAAAGTAGTGTTCAGTGTGTGGCACTTATTAGCACTGTTATTCATCAACTTTAATCGTTTAATTGAATTGGAATTTAAATTTAAGTGTTTCTTGCTGATGCAAAGTCATCATCATGGGCTGGGGTATAGGTGGGGGTAGAGTGCTTACCTAGCATGTGTGAGTCCTTGTGTTCAATCACCACCACCACCAAAAAAAAAAAAGTCATCATTGTAAATACATTCATACTGTGTTTCCCCAACTTTACTGATTATATCATCAAATGAGGATCTTGTTCAAATCCAGTAGGGCTGGTCTGGTGGAAGGCCTCAGGTTCTGTTTTTTTTTTTTCTTTCTTTCTTTTTTTTTTTCATGGTATTCAGTATTGAACCCAAGGGTGCTCTACCACTGAGCTACACTCCCAGCGCTTTTTATTTTTTTATTTTGAGACAGGATCTTGCTCAATTGCTGAGGCTAGCATTGAATTTGTAATCCTTCTGTCTCAGCCTCCACACCCAGAGAGGTTCTGAATTTCTGACAAGCTCCTGGGTAATAACAGAATCTGCTGGTCCTTAAATCAGATAGGGTTTTGAGTTTCTTGTTTTCTCCATTGAGGTCTCTTCTTATACTATTAAATTGCCTTTGTAAAAAAATTAAATTTAAAAAAGACAAAAAAAGATTAATTATCAAGGATTAAAGGATTTTTAACTGGTCTGTGAACCATCTTAAAATTGACACAAAATTGTGTCCATGTGGATGTTTTCCTGGGGAGCCAGTCTTTTAATTCCTGTATCCTACCCTGAGATTAAGGACATGAGGCCACTGGGCATTATGACTTTGTGAAGCTCCCTACGTGATTCTGGTGGTCATCAGACTTAGGAACCATGGGCATGGATATGTTGACCTTACCTAATACAGTTGCACAGCTTTTGCAGCCTCTTCCCTCCTTCTTTCTCTTCCCCCTACCTCTCTGTTCTTTCTCCACCAAAACTCTCAAGATATAATGGTTTTAGTTTGTCCTTTCTAGGGGAAAAGATTATCATAAAGCTGTGTTCGACAGAGGAAGAAACAGCCCAGCTTCTTAGCAAAGTCCTTAATGGTAACAAATCAGCATCTGAAGCACTAGCCAAGGTTGTTCATCAGGATGTCACCTTTGCTGATGCAGCTCTGGATTCCATAGTGATCAACATTCCACAGGACCTTATGGGAATTTGGGTGGATCCCATAGGTAAGTATAGGAGAGTACGTTTGCTCTGTTACCTGTGTATTTGTTCTTGTGCATAATCCTCTTTCTTTCTTTCTTTCTTTCTTTCTTTCTTTCTTTTTTTTTTTTTTTTGGCTTGGAAAATAAGAATTATTGAAAGTATAGTTTAATTCTCCTAGAAGATTTAAAATTTTTAAGTTTCAAAATGCTAAGTGAAGAAGTTGAGGTATATTATGATGTGTTATGTTGTAGATATGTGTATATATACATATAGCTATGTACATATGTACCTTTATACACAAGTCTGTAACAGGTGTGTGTATGTACTACACAGGCCCACAGAAGGGCCAGACTGGTAAATAAGTGAGAACATGGAGTGATAGCAGTTATAACAATTGGGAACACATGCTACTTAAAGAGTGCTTAGCTCCAACCGATTGTGGCCGTATGGGAGTACAGGCCAGATCTTCAGATTTTTCGGTGGGAGCAGAATAAGCAAAATCCAGGGTCTTAAATAAAAGTTTCCAATTCTTAACCATTGATTACTAATTTAGTTAAACAAATCAACAATCAAAAACAGTATTGATCAAACATAACAGTCAATGTGTCTCATGAACTCTGTTTATTGTGGTAGGAAGATGATCTATAGCTCATTGTTTTAAAAATGTGATCTTTCTCTTCAGTGATGCCACTAATACCAAGCCCCAGGTATTGTGCCCCCCTATCCCATTTTTCCCCACCTCCCTGTGATATTCCACCCAATACATTTTGCTAAGCAGACAAACTCCTCCACCCTTCCCAGTGTTATAAAAATGGGTTTAATTGTCTGGGCTTGGTGGTGCATGCCTTAGTCCTAACCATCGGGGAGACTGAAGCAAGAGGATGACTTGATCCAAGGAGTTCTAGACCAGCCTGGACTACACTGTGTGACCTCATCAAGGAAGAGGAGAGGGGAGGGGAGGGAGAGAGGGAGAAGAGAGAAATGAGAGAGAGAGATAGTGGTTTAATCAGAGAATTACATAACATTCAGTCAATGGATTATATGTGGAAATGAAGTCTTTCCCAAAATCTTTGATTACTTAAGGATAAACTACATCAATTATGATTTCTGAAGGACAAGGATCTCCTGTTTCTTGGTTTTGTTATGGTTTTGGTACCAGGAATTCAATCCAGGGGCACCTAACTGAGCCACATCCCCAGCCCTTTTTAAAATTTTTTATTTTGAGACGGGGTCTCACTAAGTTGCTTAGGGGCTTGCTGAGTTACTGAGGCTGGCTATGAATTTGCGATCCTTCTGCCTCAGCCTCCTGAATCCCTGGGGTTACAGGCATGCACCATCACACCTGGTTACTTCTTGGTTCTTGATTCTATTCTCTAGCTCTCTGCATCTTCTGCCAGTCTCACCCTTAGCTGGGTGCTAACCCCCCAAATGCTGTCAGGCAGCTCTCATATCTCCGAAGAGGAAACAGCTCTTCCACTTCTTTTTCACAGAAACATCATTAATTTCTTCCTTTTTTATGCCACCATCATTGTCTTTCCTCCTTGGAACTTGAGGAACCAAATAATATTAACAATAATAGATAATTCTGCCTCTGGCATATTGCTGGAAGAAGACTTTTCCATCTCTCATTGTACTAGTCCTCTGATTCATAACAATTCTAAAATAACCTCACCATTATTCTGAGTTGTTAACTTTTAAATGCTTTTCACCTGTGACAAATATTTGCAAAGTGCTATACTAGATGCTGCAGGAATTATAGACAGGTGCTCTCCTTCATTCTCACTAGCCAGGAGAATGAAACATAAGCAGCTTAAGAATGAAATGTAGGAGGCCAAGTAACAATTTGATACAGGTGACATCCAAAAGTTAAAACCTGCTACAGCCAATTAGAAGAGAAATTATATAGAGCAAAATTTATAGATGTATTCAGCATTATCTTCTAAATAATCTTTATGTGAACCTTAACACACTTACTTAATTTTCCAGATTCAACTTATCAGTATATTAAAGGTTCTGCTGACATTCAATCCAACCAAGGAATATTCCCGTCTGGACTTCAGTGTGTCACTATTTTAATTGGTGTCTATGACATACACACAGGAGTGCCTCTCATGGGAGTCATCAATCAACCTTTTGTGTCACAAGACCTAAACACTCTCAGGTAAAAAGATGAACATTTTTGGTCTAGTACAGTCTTTGGAATATATTCCCTCAGCTTTGCTTACAGTTGGGATTATCCTTACACGATATTCCCATAATACATTTTGGTATTTCCACTAAAAGTATGCAAGTTTGAATTAAAAGTTCTTTCTATTTGGGCTGGGGCTGTAGCTTAGTGGCAGAGCACTTACCTAGCACGTGTGAGGCCCTGGGTTCAATCCTTAGCTCCACATAGACAACATGCCTTTGTTTTATTTGTTTATCTACAACTACAAAAAAAATTAAAACAAAGACAGTTCTTTCTACTTTTAGTCCTGCATTTGGCATGATTTTATTTGATCCAAGTACAAGGTAGAAATTTTAAAAGAAATATTATCTTAGAAATATCATAGGTCTACATTTGGGATATTGCAGCCCTATTCTCCATTTCTAGAATGTACTCAGAACCAGAATAATAGCATGGTGCTGCTAGCTAGGCACAGTGGCATGCACCTGTCACCTTAGTTACTAGGGGGGCTGAGACAGGAGGGTCACAAGTTTGAACTCAGCAAGACACTGCCACAAAATAAAAAATTTTTAAAGGGCCAAGGATATAGATCAGTAGTATAGCACTTACCTAGCCTGTGTGAAGTCCTGGATTCAATCCCCAGTACCACAAAGTAAATAAATTAGAATGTTGCTAAAATTGTCTTCTAATACTTTTGGACCAAGATATATGTCATCTGTTGTAACTATATAGCCAGTTGAACTTTTGTATAATTTTAGAAGAAATTTAAAATAAAACGTGAAAAAAGTCCAATAACAATATTGACAGTTATGGCCAGGCTTAGAACCTACCTCTGGGGCATCTCTCCTTATGAATTCTGTCAGCATCATTTCTTTTTCTGCCGTTTCCATTGACTCCCCAGCAGAGCATAGAGAGTGGCCAGGACATGAGTTGCCTCTGACTCATGGTCTGTGCTTTTGGTTCACTCCAGGGCAGGCAGAGTTCAAATACAAGCAGTTTAAGGCTTTTTAAAATTTTTTTCTTCTTTTTTAATTGAAATAGATCATATTTTTTTGTTTATATAGGACTACCTATTTTTATTGAATTTTGAGTCACTTCAGATAAGAATAGTTTGCTCTTTACAACTCTGGAATTTTGATATTTTGACTTTCCCTTCACTTTCTTCCAAACCCAAAGTATGTTTGTGTCATCTTTAAAAGGTCATTAGGAAATTAAAAAGAATTGGGGCAGAATGAGACGTACTCATGGCCTAGAAATGGAGGCAGTCAACAAAGTACTTTGTGTTGCAGATTCTGGAGTGAGACCACCTGGGTTTGAAAGCAGATTGTACCACTTACAATCTGGGTGGGCCACAGCAAGTTATTTATTTTCCCAAGCCTCTATTTCCTAGTCTGTAAACAGTGAATTTTTCAACATAGAATATATGTTAAGAACGAATGAATGGAAGGTACTGTCCTTGTTGTTGTTGACCCAAATAGTAACATTTTGAGCCCCATCTTTCTGGTGTTAGAAGCCAAAGTGGAGCTGATAAATCAAAAAATAAAAAGGAGTAACCAAAAGACCAAAAGCTTGTTATAAAGATTGTAAGAGATTTGAAGATTGATTTACCTGTTCATCTTTTCCCCTACTGAACTTTAAATGCCAAAAGTGGTCATAAAAGTTTGCAGAGTTTCTGGAGGGTGGAATTCAAACAGATAATTTGGTGTTGTCCTAGATGGATGTGATAAAGCCATAAAAGTGAAAACATTCCTAATTCTACAACAACAGCAGGCAGATGCATGCATAAGAGTAACTTTTAAAAATGAATTGGCTACTTAAGATCTATTTCTAAGCTTAGGGGAGGTAAAACTCATGATGCTAGGATGAACTGGGTTTTTGTTTGTTTTCATTTTCTTAAAACAATAAAAGGCAATACGAATCATGAAAAACAAATGTGCAAATCGCCTCTATCAACTGAACTTTTTCTTCCACAGGTGGAAAGGACAGTGCTACTGGGGCCTTTCTTACATGGGGACCAACATCCATTCACTTGAGCGGGCCATCTCCAAAAGAAATGGCAGTGAAAATCGAACTGAGAACTCCAACCCTGAGTCAGAGTCCTCCTCGGCTTTTTCAGCAGTCATCAGCACTAGTGAGAAGGAGACCATCAAGGCCGCATTAGCCCGAGTGTGCGGAGAGAGGATCTTCCCGGCAGCAGGGGCTGGTTACAAGAGCCTCTGTGTTGTCCAAGGCCTCGTTGACATTTACATCTTTTCAGAAGACACCACGTTCAAGTGGGACTCTTGTGCTGCTCATGCCATCCTGAGGGCAATGGGCGGGGGAATAGTGGACATGAAAGAATGCTTAGAAAGGCATCCAGACTCTGGGCTGGATTGGCCCCAGCTGCTGTACCACCTGGAAAATGAAGGTGCCACTGGGGTGGATCGCTGGGCCAACAAGGGAGGACTCATTGCTTACAGATCCAGGAAGCGGCTGGAGACGTTCCTGAGCCTCCTTGTCCAAAACCTAGCTCCTCTGGAGACACGGGCATAGAGGTCTCTGGCCTCGAAGTACATATAAGCCAAACTGCAACTGTTATTTCTATCTTTTGAAGATAGTTTTGTCCTATTGTTGGCTAACATTCGCCTTCCTCTTTTGAGGAATATTTTTCCATTATGTGTTCATAATGTTCATTTCAGTAAATTAATGACATTCGTGCAGTAAATTGATGTATGATATTCTTACAGTGAATATGGTGTTAATGTTGCTTGAAACTTATTCAATAAAATATTGAAGAAAGAGGAAAAATCCTATTCAATTCACAGAACTACTCTAAACCTCTAAGTTATAGAAGAACGGTCACTGAAATATTAGGGAGAATACAGGAGGGGTTTGCATGGGTTCTGTTTCCTTTCCTGAAGGGAAAAATCTGCCTATGTGGAACATTCAGAACTGTAAATTTCCATAAATGTAGCAAAATCCAAGTACTTTCAATAGTATTGTTTCTCTTGAGAAGGAAAGGCTGGGAGCACTTGGACCCCCGCCCACCTGCTCAGAGACAGTGAGGTAATTAGAGAAAAGGAATTAGATAGAAATCCTCACAGTGAGTGGGAGAGATGCAAGGTGGCAGGATGCAGAGGAAGGAAGTGCCATTGAGAGAGAAGGGCAAGGACCAAAGATGCACAGAGACTCAAGAGAGACATTTCTGCATAAGGAATGGAGTAGAGATTTCTATGACTTTTGTATATTTACTACACAAGAGGTAGCTTTGTGTGTACCAGTTCTCATATTGATTATTCTCTGATATGAACATGAACCATGGTTATTAGGTTTTTGTTTTTGTCTTTGTTAGCTGCCCTGTCGACGCTGTAGTGCCTACCAAAGGGAATCAGTCAATCAATTGGCGCTGTTCACTGTGCACCCTCTGGGGGCCAAAGGATGTTCCTCCAAAGTTGTTTTTTTTTCTTCTGTCCTTAAATTAAAAAAAAAAAATTTAAAATTTTAAATAATAGTTGCATATGTTTAATATTGTACAAAATAATGCTTTGGAATATGCGTACATCTTGAAATGTCTACATCAAACTATTAATATTTGCATTGTCATTATTATTTGTGTGTATGTTGAGAACACTTAAAATATCCTCCATTAGCAATTTTCAAATGTACAATTCATTTTTATTAACTATCTCTTTGAAATTTTTTATCTTTTGACCAATGACCCACCCCAACTATTCTTAACCCTGTAACCACCATCCTACTATCTGTTTCTATGAGTTGCTTTTTTAAATTCCATATATAAGTGAGATTATTGGGCTTTTTGTGTGTGTGTGTGTGTGTGTGTGTGTGTGTGTGTGTGACTTATTTTTCTTTATACTATCTTTCAAGTTCATCCCCGCTGTTTCAAATGATAGTATTTCCTTCTTTTTAAAGTCCAAATAGTATTCCATTATATAAGCACCACATTTTCTTTATCTGTCTGTCCAGTGCAGGAATTGATTCCATATCATAAACATTGTGAACATGGGAGTGCAGGTATCCCTTTGACATAAATGAAATTACATTTCCTTAGTAAAACACCTTTTTTTCATATAAAAGATTAAATGATTTATTTAATGATTGGTTTTTAGAAGTTGACATTGTGCCCTATGGTTGTGGGCTGTCAAGTTTTATCTTGTCACTGACAGTCTAACTTTAAAGGTTAATTTGAAGTCAAAGTCAGTTGATTCTTCATAAAACTCAATAGAAATAAAAACCCTCACTCCCAAATACAATCGGCATGGAAACAGAAAATGGTGACGTGTCAGCATATGCTGACTCCAACATCACTGGCAGAGCATGTAAATAATCAGAAACACACAGCAGAATAGCCATCTTCAGCGAGATCCAGACAGTTCCTCAATGAATTGGAAGGGAAAAAGAGCTGAAGAGAAAAGGGAATCAATACCAGAAAAGGAAATCAATATATTCTGTAAGAACCTACTATATGCAATCAGCCTTCCATATTTGTGGCTTCTGTGTCTAAGATTCACTCAATCTTAGATGGAAAATATTTTTAAAATATTATGTACTGAATATGTCCAGTAATCTTGTCATAGTTCTCTAGACAATATTCAAAAAATATTTTTAATCTGTACTGAATATGTCCAGTATTCTTGCCAACATTCCCTACACAATACAGCATAACAATTATTTAAATATCACTTATATTGAATTTAGGTATTATAAGTAATTTGTATTTATATTGAATTTAGGAAAATATTAAATATATGAAATATTAAGTATATGCTAGGCTATGCATAGAAAAACACTACATCGTTTTATATATGGGATTTGAGCTTCTGTGGATTTGGGCATCCATAGGGGTTTCTGGAATGAATCCCCTTCTGATATTGAGGGACAACTATATGTTCATTGTCAATCTTTGACGGAAAACCACAGCCCTTCCTTGAGCCTGTGTCTGCTGATAGGTCATTGTTTCTCTTGCATAAACCACACCTAGGTAAGCAGGATTTCTAATTTTAATTTGTCTACAAGAAGAACTTAAAAATATTTGCAAAGCAATCTGAGGACATATTCATTCTGTATTTTTGTAATTTTTCCCTCTATTTTTACAGTTGACTCATAAGGTAATTTGTTAAGTTCCACCTTAGTCAACCCTTACCCAAACCTTCAATTCTTTGCTTTTAAACTCATGTTCCATTATTTTATATTTAATTAACATCTTTAATTGTAAAAAGTAAAATTAGGATATAGAGTTTTGGAAGTCAGCAACTCTTGGTTCAGAGAGAACTCATTTGTTGGGAACAAGAGTGGTGGGGGGATGGTGGGGAGGTATTGTAGAGAGGAACCCCTTGGCCACAAGGTCAGGTATCTTGGTGATGATCCATGGGTTTTACAGGAAAATGGATGTAGAGATTAATCTGCCAGGTTACTTTGATGAACAGTAGTAAAATGAGAGCTTAAACTGCACATCATATTCAGTCTCTGGGAATTCAACTAAATGTTGTTTCATGTATTGTTCTTAAACTCACAATTGTTCAGGAAATCCTCTTGGTTCCAATTTCAAAATATACCCAGAATTCCACCACTCCTCACCACTCTGCCTACCCCTCACCCTGCTCCAGGCCCCCTTTATGCCTCACTTGGATAAACTGCTGACTTGCCACCATGCACCTTATTTTCAATGCAGAAACCAGAGTGATCTTTTCAAAAGTATCTCTGATCTGTTCAAAACCCACCAAATGGCTCTTCAACTCTCTCAGGTAACAACAGCTCTCTTTACATAGCCCATAACACCCACCATTCACCCTTCTCACTTACCCACAGATTAGAAGTCACCTGCTCTTATTCTGCTATGGTCCAAATGCTTGTATCCATTGCCAAATTCATATGTTGACATCCTAACTCCCAAGGTGATGGTATTAGAAGGTGAGGCCTGTGGAAAATGCTCAGATCATGAAGCTGATGCCGTCATGAACGGGGTTAGTGCCCTTATAAAAGAGGCCTGACAGATACCTCTCACCCTTCCCACCATGTCAGGACACAAGAAGAAGGTGAAGTCTATGAGCCAGAAAGCAGGTGCTCATCCTCCACCGAATCTGCCTTGATCTGGAAATTTTCCAGGCTCCAGAGATGTGAGAAATTAATTTTTGTTGTTTATAAGCTACCCAGTTTATGGTATTTTGTTATAGTAGCCCAGACTAAAAACTCTCCCCCTTGCTCACTTTGTTCCACCTCCCCGACCCCCAATTCTGGGAGTCAAACCCAAGATCTGGCTTTGTGCATATTAAGCAAATACTCTACTTCACTCCAGAACTTTTTTGTTTTCCCAAACTCCAGAATAAAACTCCCCATTTCCTCTTTACCCTAGTCCCTGATACCCACTGTTCTACGTTCTGTCACTATGAATTTGACAACTTTAGGAACTTCTCTCACATAGGTGGAATCCTACATTTGTCCTTTTTGTAAATGGTTTATTTCACATACTGTCTTCAAGGTTCATCTGTGTTGCAGTGGTTTGTGCAGAGGAGGGAAGTGCTACTGGGGCCTTTCTTAAAATAGCTAGTATGCTTTTATTATTCATGTTTAATGTAGTCAACCTAAAAATTATCAGAAACAAAAGCATCATGAAATAGAAAGAACACACCTGATTTAGTCAATAATCAGACAAGTTATTAATAGGCTTAATTAATTTATTATAATATAATAACAATATTAATAGCTAACATATGGAGCAGTATATTCCAAATGCTGTTAGATATTCAACTGCATTGTATTATTCAAAATAAGAGTCAAAATGTATATCCCTGGCTCCTGTGACATAATACTATCTCTTTCACCTGACAATATTTTGCCTACATTTTTAAAAGCTCTAACTTAATTAACTTTCAACAATTCACATTTTAAAAGAATACTTTTTAGTTGGCAATGGATCTTTATTTTATTTATTTATTTATATGTGGTGCTGAGAATTGAACCCACTGCCTCACACATGCTAGGCAAGCGCTCTACGACTAAGCCACAACCCCAAGCCCAACAATTCACTTTTTAATACTTTGTCGTCTACCCATTCCTTTCACCTGTTATTCTTTGCACCAGCTACCTGATTCACTTTACCATCACCTCTAATTCAGCCCAACTCTTCCTAAGCATTGGTTCCTACATAGAGTATGGGACCTGAAGAGCATTATCTTGTAATGTACCTTGTATGTGGCCAATCTTTTGCCCTGACTTCTGACCCCTTTGTTAGAGCCCCCTCCTCTGAGACATCATTGTTGTTGCTACTGCAGTGCTGGGGCCAACCAGGGCCATGTGCATGCTAGGCAAGCACTCTACCCCCGAGCTATACCTATACTGCTGTATGATATTTTGAAGTGCCAACGGATGAGTATTCTGTAAAGGGCTTTCTGCTGTGTTATAAAGTGTTTAAAAAATTTAAAAAAAAAACACAGGCCACTGAACCTATGTGTACACTCCATAAGATAGCCCTCATGTTGAGAAGGGAACTTGCCAGAATAACTTTGCAGTAATACTCCATGCAGTAAACATTAGGATTAACAATGAGTGGCAGAAATGCCAAAATAGCAATGGCTTAAGAGAGAAGAAATTTCTATCTTCCAAAAGTGAAGTGAAGAGGTTTATGTTCAACCCTGAAGACCTCAAGCTTTCTTTCATCCCACTACTCCCCCTACCCCCAGACTATAACCTTTTTCTGAGCTACCCAAGTGCATCTATATCTCCCATCAAATAGAAGGAAAGACAAAGAAGGGTAAGGAAGGTAATTTTTCATCCCACATAGTCACATGGACTACTCATAGCTCTAAGGGAAATTGGAAAATCTCTCTTTTCTGGGAGCCATGTACCCAGCCAAAAGCCAGAAGTCTTATCTCTAGAAGATGGGAAACAGGTATAAGAGGACAACTAGCAGGCTCTATCAGTCAGGGCACCAGAGCTGTCTGGGCTCAGCCTGATCTCTGATCATACACCCCCTGGTCTTATGGCTGAGGATTCAAAGCCTTCCAGTAGGGTTATTCCAACCCATAGATAGCCACACTCACTTATCTACTTATGATGCACTTATCCACTTCATCCTCCAAAGACTTAAAGTGCCGTAAATGCATACATCCTTCAAGATGACAAAGGGCTTCCCGGCAACAAACACATCATGGAAATAGAAGGCAAATGCCAGTACAGTTACTCCTCTCCTGAGACCTGTGAGGAATTTCTGAGATTCTTGGCCCTGGCAACTCAACTCTGGGCCTGTTGCCTCCTCTTATCAAGCCACACCCCTGCCTCTGTCTGTCAACTGCTCAGAAGGCAGACAAACTAGCGTCAAATGTGTGCTTTGCATACCTTTTTCAGCCATTCCACTT